AATTAGGGTTAGCCTATGGCAAGAGTCCAGAACAAGGTCTGAACTCATGTCTCCAAAACCACAACAGGACATCTTAGCTGCCCTGCCACCATACCCCTATCACCAATAAAGTGCTCTTAATTTAGGTAGCAGAGAGAAAGCCCAAAACAACCTAGACAGCCCAACAGCCTAGAGAGAGACCACAATGGTAACATGCTGCAGCACACCATTCACTTGAAGAGGTTGCCCCTAGCTTATCTGCAGGAAGTCTGGAGTGGGATTTCAAGCCCAGCATCATCAACAAGGATCTGACCTTTATCAGGTCCTCGCAGAGAGGAACAAAGAGTCAGACAGAACACTCAGAAATAGAATACAATCCCCTCCCCTCCCAGAAAGCATTTAACACCATATGATGGGGTCCTGCTGAGTTCATAGTCAAGATAGACAAAAGGGTTTTTGAACCCGAAAGCTTGCTTAATAACTATTCTCCAACCATTTGGGTTGGTCTAATAAAAGATATCAAATTCACCCAAGGAACCTTGTCTGTCTAGTCAAGATAGATACACAATAGCTTTAATCTTTTCTGCAGGCAAACTGAGGTAGGGCTTCCATGAAACATCCTCTGCTCCTCATCCTTCAAAAGAAAGGGTGCAATTAAAATACATAACGGAGCACTCTGCTTCAGTACATGGAGGACATCCCAAACTGAAAAGCAGCTGGCACCCAAAGCCCCATACAGACAATCTGTTACTGCACCAGCTAGCCACTCTTAGGACCACAAGTACCCTGCATAAGCTGTGCAGTCTTCAAACATGTTTTGCTATGGTTTGCCTGATGAGTGCAGTTGCTTGCAATTTTCTTGATTAATTCCTCCCCCGACAATGACTCTATCCACCCACAGGTCTATCTTCTGAACCCCAAACTGAGGTTCACCGAATCAGAAAACTTTAGGCATGGACAAAGGACAAGGATATCATGTCCCAGCTGGGTACAAAAGCTACTTTCACTTTTGGCAGCAAACTGAATCAGCAACTTGGGCTTCTATTTCTGTCTGGGAACAGTACAGAAGCCATAGAGTTTTAAACACAGCTAGAGAAACAGTCATGTCCAGATCAAGTTCTAGCCACCCAAGAACGTTTGGAAGGGCTTGTCTAAATTGGCATCAGTAAGCACATCTTTATGACTCCAGATCCATTAGAGTCCATTCTCACAGGTGTAGGGTGATCTCAACACCCTGCAGGAAATAGGCAAATTAACCGTAATGCTAGTTCAGAAGCACCCGTCCAAACTCTGGAGCGTGGTGTCTAGATACATGGATGGCACTTAGCACAATGTGGGTGCTACTGGGATATAAAGAAGGAACAAAGGAAGCAGTAGTGACCGGCTTGGAGCTACAAAAAGTCATGCATGACAAAGGTGGGAAGTGGCACCTAGGAATTCCTACTATCCTACCACTTGTTTCCACTATACCTCTCCCCCATGAGAGGCTGTCAATGCAGCTCAAAAGCAGAAGCCACTTGTCCCACCACCAAAAAAAACCCACCAAAAAAACCAAACCTAAAGCTGGCAGACAGAGAAGCACCCTGCCAGAGTCCCTGGCAGCTCTCCCTAGGTGAATCCCTCCAAGGGATGCAATCCCATCCCCCTTTATTGGGACAAATGGCATCTGGAACAGTGCTATACCCTAGAGCAGCAGTTCCCAAACTCTGACAGATTGCACACTACCAATTTAAAATGATACGACCTTAAGAACCACCAGCAATTTTTTTGTCATACAAAGTAATTATAATAAATCTGTTAATATGTACTACTGACAGGTTGTCTGCATACCACCGGTGGTACCCATACCACAGATTGGGAACTGCTGACCTAGAGCTTTCCTGAGACAGTGGCCTGAGTGGCCTTTACACTCTTCCTCTCCACCCAGCAAGATAAGAAAGTCCCTGCTGGCAACTGCTTGAAAAGCCATAGGAAGCAAGTGTAGTCAGGCCTGTCATCCTTGTGGAAACAGTCATGTGGTCTGTAGGAGGAACAAGATAGGGGAAATGGGACCTCTCACCCATTATGGATTCTAAACACAGTCAAAGAAAAGTGGCTGTCTTATTATGCCGTATCTGCAACTCAGGAGGAGGAGGAGGGGGAAGAGGAGAGCAAGCCACAAAGACAGTTTTAATTTTGTCTAGATTTAGAATGTGACTATTACCAAGTCTGAAAGGACAGATGCTTTTAAGCCAGTGTTAAACCCCTTCACTACTGAGGCCAAAACATGCCTCAATGGTGGCGCACACACCCGCCCACCCTTGAGTTTTTCCAAGTTCTATATAAATATGTACAACCCGCAAGGCACACCACAGCATTTCTTCCTTGGAAAGGGACAGGAGGTGCAGTCAGCAGTGTAGTCCACACAACTAAGCTATCCTGGACACTTTGGACATGGCATCATGGAGCAGTCTCTGTATTACAAGGTCTTGCACACAGTTTGGGAATGACAATTCACAGGGCGCTATACCATTTCACATAGCTGTTTTCCCTTGCACACATTAAGCAAGGCATGCAAGCTCAAGCACCTGTGCTGGAGACCCTTTGTAGAGTTATATTTCCCTTAAACTCTGAGAAGGGACAGAGACATTGAAAACTACGTCCTGATACCGATTGGTGTAGGTGGCCTAACTCACACCCCTAGTACATTGCACTGTCTTTCTCCAGTCCCTTGCTGCTGGCCACAATAGGCTATTAATTAATTCATCTGTTTTATGTCTCCAAAAACCACCACCACCAAGGTAAAAAGCTGGATCTTTTTGCTCACAGCTTGTCATTATGAACAAAAAAACAGCCCAGAAGGAGTTCAACACAATCCTGCATTTAATTTCCTGTCTGACATGGAACACAACTTCAATGCTATTTCAGCACCATGAATGCACAGCAAATGCCAGCTGCCACAGAACACAGGCTGTAATGATCTTTGAAGAGAAATCATGTAAAGGCTGGCATTGTAGTGATGCACCAAAATAACAAAATCCAGTTCCAGTTGCATAAGCTGAAGCCCATTAAAAACAAAGCTGCAGAAGTACTGACTCCACTGTAAGCAAACATCAACAACGGTCCTGACCTAAAGCTGACAGGCATCTTTCTACATCTGTATGTCAATGCTCTGAAGTAAGTCCACAGAAAACTTATTAACAGATGAGTTGTTCTTTTAAAACCAACTCTAGTAATTGGTTACGACTCCCACAGCTCTCAACTTTTTTTTTTTTTTTTTTTTTTAGATGCAAGGCACTCAGAAAATGCCAGCTCTTAGCTTTCACTCATTTTTTGACTACAGAAAAATAACAGAGCAATTCTTCTGTTGCAAAAAGCCCAGGCCAGAGCAGCTCAGAACATGTTTGGCACTCTGGATTTCTATATGAAAACCCTGGATTTAATCTTCTGAATCATGTCCAAGTGTTTGTACACTGAACAGTGCAAACATTTCACAACACCCCCAAGGCACCCTTAAAAGGCTCTCACAGCAGCCAGGTTGAATAACTGCCCCATATTTAGCCAAATACCTAGATTCACACTGGGAGCAACACATTAATAGTGGCTGTTTTCACTTTATTTCTCTGTATTTAGTCTGTGTATAATATGACTGTGCATAATCACAGAGACCCCAAAAGGATATATTTCAGTGGAATATAGAGCAGTAGTCATCTTATAGATGCAGATACACATGAAAGAGAAAAAGCAGAAAACTGCAATATTTTTTCCTACCACTGCTCTTGCTGCAAGGTAATTCAAGAGCCTCAAATCTAGATCTCTACAGTTTCACAGCTAAGATAAAAATGTTATAAGTTCACAGTGGAAGAGGAGAATAGCTAGAACAGACTTCACCCTATTTAAATAAATGTATGTATGTATAAAATAAATAAATAAAATATTTAAATAGAGTGAAGTCTGTTCTAGCTAATCCAGATATTAGATAGGTCTTCCTCCAGCGAGAAAGCAGAAAAGTATGTGTACCAAGAGATGACAATTAAATGGATTCCTTCCCCTGCCCACCCACATACATTTAAAGTAGCACCTTGAGGCCCCAAACAAAATCAGGACCCCACTGCATCACAGATGCCGCATAGGTACACAGAATGAGGGGACGGGTGAAACTAACCAGCAAAGCTGCTTGGGACCAGCTCTTCCATCAGGGATGTACCTATTCCAGAAGAATTCCTGGGCAGACCTTTTGTTTTTTTGTCCTCCTGGCATAACGATCATTGTGTACTTGCCCTACACTCTGTGAGGGGGACAAAGTGGGTTTTATTCCAGAACAGACACTAACTGGTTCTGTGCTAGGCAAGCCACGTAGTAGCCCTGTTTAGATCAGCCACCCCTCTGCTCAAAAGACCAGCCATATCCCCCAGAGCTTCTATATGCACAGGAAAGAAACAGATGCATGACAGGGGTGGGTTTCTTCCCTTTTAGCAGGAGTCACCTTCCTGAAGGCAGAAGAGTTTGCATGTTAGCATGTGTCCCCTGGGGAAAGAAGAAAGCTTCCCCTTGGTCTCCCCAGACATCCTTAACCCTTTCCCTGCCAGGACCCACCTCCCTTTTAGGTGTGATCTAGTAGCATGTGTCAAGGACAAGAAGGCTCCTCCAGACACCCACACAGTGACCCCCACAAGGGGCAAGTTACAGGACCCCCCAGCACCCCAGATCAGGGGCCAATTACAGAACCACCCCCACCCCTAAACAGGGATGGGTTATGGGATCACCCAGCACCCCAGAGCAGGGGCAGGTTACAGAATACACCCAGCACCACCACCCCAGAGCAGGGATGGGTTTCAGGCTTCCCCAGCACCCCAGAACAGGGGCAGGTTACAGGACACCCCTCCAGAGCAGGGATGGGTTATGAGATCCCCTAACACCACAGAGGAAGGGCATGTTATAGGACAACCCCTGCCACCACCACCCCAGAGCAGAGATGAATTACAGGACCCCAAAGCCCCCCAGAGCAGGGGCAGGCTACAGGCTCCCTTCTACCCCCTTACCTAGGCAGGCTCCAGCAACCAGCGCCGTGGCCGTGAGGGCTCCGGCCGAGGCCCCATAGATGTTCTTGGCATTAGCCACCAGGAAGGGGGCCCGCTCCTGGAGGCAGCTGGCCACGCCGATGTGATAGACCCCCAGGAAGCCACAGCCCGCGAAGGAGATATTCCAGCTCGAGTCCGGGGGGAACATCTCGGCGAGCCGGAGGGCAATGGTGCTGTTGGCGGCGGGAGGAGACAGAGCCCCAGGAACCAGCCCTCTAAGAAAGCAAATCCACAGCCGCACCTGCCCGATCAGGCGACTGGCGAGAGTGGGAGGGAAGCGCCTATATGGGGCCGCGGCGGGCGCGGGGAGGGGCGGCTCAGCGGCTCCGGCACCAATCCGCGGCCAAGGGCGCCGGGCTCAGCCCGCCCCACCCCAGCTCGCGGGGTGGAGCCAAACCGGCGCGAGGAAAACAGCCGGGAGGAGAGCGGCCGGGCCGCCGGCGGGCCGGCTGGTGGCAGGCTGAGCGGCTCCTGGGCCCCGGGCTCTGGGCGGGGAGGAAGGAAGGAAGTCAGAAGGCAGGGCGCGTGTGCGCTCTTCTAGACTAAGATATATACACACATGCGCACAGATACCCCCCGCGCGCGCACACGCATACAGATACACACGCACAGGACACAAGCTTTTGTGAACCCAAGCTCACGTCCTCAGAGGCAGCAAAAAGAGGGGCAGAAAGCAGACTACAGGGAGGAAAGAGAATACACACACACAGATGCACATACCCCCCCCTACTGCACATGCGTGTGCACACACACACAGACATACAGGACACAGGCTTTTGTGAACCCAAGTTCACGTCCTCAGAGGCAGTAAAGGAGGGGCAGAAAGTAGACTACAGGGAGGAAAGAGAATACACACACACACACACACACACACATACAGATACCACCCCAGCCCCCGCGTGCGCACACATACAGATACCCACACACACACACATACCCATGCACACACCCCCACAGACACACAGGACACAAGCTTTTGTGAACCCCAGTTCATTTCCTCAGAAGCAGTAAAGGGAGGAGCAGAAAGCAGACTAGGAGGAGGAAAGAGAATATAGAGTACAAAAGACAAGTCAGGGGAGGTCAAAGAGGGGAGGAGGGCAGAGCTAGGAGAGTAAAGCAAACAGCAGCAAACCTGTAGGAACCCAGGAGGGTCACCAAAGCATAGCCAGGGAATGTGATAAGAATCCTGGTTTAAGCCGTAAGAACATAGGTGCTGCCATTTCCTGGGTTGGACCTTCGCTCCATCCTGCCCAGACTTCCCTGTTACAGTGGCAACAAATCGGCTTGTGTCCTAGAGGGACAGAGAGCAGGTGCTGAAAGGGAGAGGGAGCTGGGCATAACCAGGGTTTTGTTCCCACAGCTCCTCTCTCACGTGCAGCCTCCAGCATTTAAGTTGTGGAAGTTCTAATTCAGAGGCTGCACCGCTACTTCCTGTACTCCATAGTGCCTAATGCCTCTTTTCTCCAAGAGTTTGTCCCATCCCTTTGTGAATCTGGCTGAATTGGCAGCTTCCAAAGCACATGATGGCAGGGAGTTCCACGCTTGAATGATATACTGGGGGAAAGAAATTCCTTGTGTTAGTTTTAAACTTAGTGCCTATTAATTTAATTTAGGGACCCCTAGTTCTTGTGTTGTGTGTGAGAGTAAATAATAAACCCCTATCTACTTTATCTTCACCATTTAGTATTTTGTAAACCCTTATCATGTCCCCCCGTAAGTGTCTTTTCTTAACTGAGCAGACCCAGCTTCTTTAATCTTTCCTCATATGGAAGGGCCTCCATACCACTAATCATCCCTGTTGCCCTTCTATGTCCTTTTTGAGGTTTGAGGACCAGAACTGGGCATAGTATTCAAGGATTGGTTGGACACACCATGGATTTATAAAGGGGCACAATGATAGTTAACACAATCTAGTTTGTGGATGATTTCTTGTTTCACAATTTCCCATTCAAACTGATTTTTAAAGGATTTTTTTGTTTGTTTGAGAACAGCAATGGAGTGTGAGAGTAAGGCAGGCTGGTGGGGGAGTACAGGAAACTGCAGGGCTGTGGTGTTGGATCTTAATGGTGCCCATGAACCCACTTGAAGATAATATGCCCTCCTACATAATTTTTGCTCCCTGTAGCTCTTAGCACCTGCACCCAGCCCCAGCATCCCTTCAGAGCAGCAGGGTGATGACCAGTCTCTGAAAAACATACATCACCCTCCACCAGGAGCACAGTTGATGTGGCAATAGTGGCCGAGGCAGGAGGACTACACATCCTATATATATCGGGGGCAGCCGACATGCAGTACATACGCCACAAGATCCACAGGCAGCTTCTGCATGTGGCAGATTGGAGAGGGGTAGAAAGCAGAACAGCAGGTCAGGCAGGGAACATAGGTCAGGAAGAAGCAAGCAGAGCAGTAGATCAGGCAGAGAGAGGGGAATCAGGGTGGGAGGGAGAACACAGGGCTTAATTTTGGCACACTGGCCAAAAAGGTTGGCACCCCCACTGCTATACATCATTTGGGTAGCCAATTCAATTCAAAGGAGATTCAGCGGCCGAATCTCTGAATCTGAATCAAACTGGGGGACCCATTGAAAGGTCCAAATCAATTCGGAGAGACTCGGAGATTTGACCATAGACTATACAGGCAGCAGTCCTCCATGATGCTGCCTCCAGCTGGTAAATCTGTTGTGGTGGGCAGAGAGGGAAGGGGAAGGATGTGGCGGGGATGGAGGCAGATCAATGCCCCCACAGCAAGGGAGGGATAGGGACGGGGAGAAAGCTGCCCAGCTGGGGTGGGGGGGCAGCGTGCAAGAGCCACCAGAGGAGTCACTGGAAGAGTGCTCCTGGACTGGCGGTGCGCAGTGGTGGGAGCCCCCCTCCCCCAAGTCCCACACCCTGGCTGGGCAGCTTGTCCCAGCCCCAATCCCTCCCTTGCTGTGGGAGCATTGATCTGCCCCCCCTCCCCCCATTTGCCAGGTGGAGGCAGCTGTGTCCAGTCATTGAGGATTGCTGCCTGTATAGTCTATGGCTGAATTTCCAGATTCAAATCAGCGGAATTGAAATCGGGACAGTGATTTGAATCACCAAATCAAATCACTGTCCCTCCAAATCAGCTGAACCCAAATCCAGAGCAAATACTTACTGCTTTGCACAGGCCTAATTATTATACCTAATAAAACTACATTACAAACAAAAATGCATGTGTACACATTAAGCCATCACATTAAAGCCACAGAATCAAGCATGCTAATGTTACAAAGAGCAGGATTGTGGGTAGCTGTCAAGTCCTTATTTGACTTTGTGATGCACACACACAACAATACTATCTTTAAGTAGACAAGCTATTTCAGGTGCCCAACACCTATGCCCAATCTTTCAAAGTATTGAGCAGTATCCAACATTTTACATATTCAAAGCCTATCTCCCAGTGACTTCAATCGCAGCCGCCAGTGCTCAGCACTTCTAGCCAATTGGACTGTCGAGTCTTAGTTTGGACCAGCAGAAAGCAAGGAACACACCACCACAAGAGGTCTAGTTTAAGTGACTTGCGCAACATCACACAGGATGTCTGTGACAGAGGCAGAGATCAGGTCCAAATACTATTATAACCACAATGCCATCCTTGCTCTTCCTGAAATCCCTCCATCCTTAAACATCTCCTTCTGCAAGAAATAAGGCAAGGGATCTACAGAGAACAGTCTTCTTTGCTACACAACCCTAATTCAGCTCAAGAACTGGAGACCTGGGGAAGATCAAGATAAACACACATAATAGGTAACCAAATGAAGATTGCTCAGGAAACCTTAATTTTGGCATTTCGCAACTACTGAGCACTTAAATTTGCAATCTAATAATGTTTCATGTGCATGTGCGACTTACTAGTTTTGTTTTGTTTTAAAAAAAAGCAAAACACAAATCCTACAAAAAAAGGATTTTATCATGTGTTTTCTACTGCCATCCAGCTGATGAATCAAGTGGATGTTAACCTTCAGATCCACCATACAGGCCTCTACCACTTGATCTTGGCGAGTAATTAGCAGCAGGTTGTTATACTTTATATGGACCAGCACTAGCTGGGCACGAGGCATACATTTGGTCAATAGATTTCATAGGTATTTTGTGGCCACAGAGGAATCGTGGGACTGGGGGAATTCTTGGTTCCTTTTCAGGCTCTGGAGACTTGTGTTCTAGCAGTTACAGATCTTTCTGCAGATCTTCTGCTGCTGTCCAGTCTCATCTCCTTCTGCAGCTCCTCATTCCTTTCTCCTCCACTTACAGGTTCTCATCCCAGGCCCTTCGTTTTTATTAAGTCCCAATCTCCAGCTGAGGTCTATTCCCCACTCCCCCATCCTGGATCTGGGTATCCCTCCTCCCAAGTACTCTACCTTTCCCCCCACACACACCCCTGCTTGCTTCCTCCTGCTTTTGGTTCCCACTCCACCATGCTGGCCATATTAAAATAAGAAAATAAATAATAAACTAAAAATAATTATAAAATAAGGTCACACTGGGGAAGGAGGGGCTGTTTCTGAGAAATCTATGACCCCAGCTATGCATCAGAAAGTATACTCTTCCCTCTCTTCAGTTACACCAATGTTGACACTTTTCTCACAGTGCACACTGGTTTTAGAGCATTCCAAAAAGCTCTAAATCTCAGTTTGTTGGAGTCATGTATTGAGTCAGCAGCAGTTGCCACTACCACCACTCACCCCCTGTCCACCGCTTGCCCCCATGCTTCCAACTGTCCACAGCAGACATTGGCATCAATAGGAACTGTGGAAGCACAGAACCCACAAGGTTAGGGCCCTAACCCGAGAACTAGTAGTGGGGGCGCAAAGTCAGTTTGCAAAAAAGTGGTCAGAGCTGTTCTCCACTTTCCAGGCTCCACACAGAATCAACAGCGAGAGAAAGAGGCCAAGGGCTAGTCCTATGACCCAGACTCTGGCAATCTCCCAGCTGAAGACCATTAAGGCCTTTTCCTCGACCACTGAATATAGGATCACCATCATGGAGGTATCAGGGATATTATAGCATGCAAGCTATTACATAGTCTTGATTCTTTTCTCCAACAAGTTGATGGACAGAGGCCCTACTTGTTTCTTTAAGAAACTAGCATATTTGTTGCCAGAGAATCCAGCACAAGTACTAGGCTCCAAGCTTTGTGCTCTAGAGCTGTAGCCAGCCTTCCCCAGGGAAACCACTTCCTGGAGATCTCTAACCCATAGGGGTAGCAAAGGGAAGCCTCCAAAACATTGCCTTTACATGGAAGTAATTTTCCTGGAGTAAGGCAGTGACAACAAACTTAAGGCTGTTGTTTTTGACTTTGTCAAAGAGAAACAGATTGCATGATGCAGGG